TAGCACTTTACAGCCTTCAAGACTCAACTGAGTTCAGCAACTTTTAGGGATGAGTATTGTCCTCCATTTTGATTTCCTGTCCATGTTCAGTTTGCATGGTTAACTTTCAGCAGTGCTAACCAATTGTGTATGCTGTTCACAAATACCATTAACATATATTCCATGTCTATATCCTTCCTGTCATTGCACTTGTTTTGTCTTTTGCACTGAGAAACCTCACTATCTGTTCATTTACACCTCCTCCCCTTTGTCTACTGGATGAAAAACATCATGCTCTACACCCTTACACCACACCACCCCAACCACCCCAGTTCTGCAGAACAGTCAATTGGTCTTGAAATGTTAAGTCTGTCCCACTCCACAGATACTGCCAGACCTGTTGAGTTTCTCCAGCACTTTATTTTTATTTTGGATCTCTCGCATCAACAGTATTTTATTATCACCTACTACTCCACTTTGTGTGTATCATGACTAAATTCTACATGATGCACTTCAATGCCACATCCCAGCTCCTTGGAAAACATGTTCCAAACCTGTGATTTCATCCAACAAGAATGAAAATAGTAGCGGGCACTTAGAACACATGCAAGTTCCCTTCCAAGTTACATGCTATTCTGACTTGGAAATATCATTTTCATGTCAAAATGCTAGAAGTTGCTACCAGCAGCAGGATATCATATAAATTGCATGGTTTAGAAAGGTTACTACTCCACTGCATTCTCAAGCCATTTTGGATGCAGACACAGCCGGAGATGACCTATCCATTTGTTGACAGCATGGCAGTCTGGGTTTAAAGAAAAAATACACATCTAATGTGTCTTCTTCAAAAGTTCAAGAGGCCAAAATTTTCATAACTCAGGTCTCGATACTGGGAAGCCAGCTCATCATTCTTCTTGACACTTCTCTTCATTATTGAGAGTTTCTCTTCATAATTGAAGGTGGAAGGTGGTTATTTTTCTGGTGAGGCAATTGCAGACAGTCTTGTGGGACAACCAGAAGCTCTGAACCTAAGAGGTCAGGCTTCTTTCTGTCTATCTTCACATTGATGGTAGCAATCTGTGCCCGATAATGCTGGGCAATGAGAACAGCACATGTGCCATAAAAGAGAGAAGATTGCAGGCATCTTGCATACAACAGCAGTTTCATGCTGTACAGTACATCTGGCCTGAGGCAGCACCTCAGCAATCCAGTAATGTTTCAGAGGACAGGCAAGAATCTTTGCACTCTGGTATCTGCAGTTCTGATATAATAGTCTAAGAGTGAATGGCAACAGGTTGGCCTTGCATGAGAGCAGGAAATAATGTACAGCAGCAAGCTCACTTCAGATTGAACTTCCGATACAGCACCGAAACCTCAAGTGGCTTCGGTTTGTGCTACTGTAGACATTGAGACACAGGCCCTCAAATGTTTCATCATCGTTGAGTCTGTAGAGTGCTAATAGAGTTGGCCACCATTTCCATTCTGAAAGGATGCGCCCTGTGCTCCATGCAAAGCCCCGTACCAAATTGTTGCTGACTCCTCCATGCTCCGTGACATTGGTAGCAGGCTTTCTGGCAAACCTCAATGCACCAAGCATTTTGTTGTGTGTGCCCAATATTCGTGAACGTTGCCCTCTATCAAACACCATTAATGGTACCTTGTCCTGTCTACAAGCCACTTGTGCCCTTGTCTCACCACATACAGGCCCCCTTCTAGGTTTATCCCATAAAGTACACATTTGGCATTATCTGAGCTAGAGGTTGCAGATTACATACTTCCTTTTTTACTACTTTGCCGTTTTCCTTTTCTTCCACCCCATGTTCTTCCAATACTGCCTGGCCAGGTTGCAATTTCTGGTAATACAGTGAGGAGAGGCATGTGTTTAAATAAGGAAGAGATGTATGTTGACACTATTTGCAGGTATTAAACTAGAAGAGATTGTGGGATGATGAAGGAAGTAGGATGTAAAAAGGAGGATTAGGCTTCAGCCCTTTACAAACCACAGCCTCAGTTGGACCAATATCACTGATCACCATCTCATACATTTGGAGTAAGGAGAAACAGCTGAGCCTGTCTGCTGGAGGTTAGATAGGGCTCTTATGGTGCAGTGGTAGAGTCTCTACCTCTGAGCTGAAAGTCCTGCATTCAAGTCCCACCTGCTCAAGAGGCATGTAATAACTTTCTTGAACAGGTTGACTCGAACATATCTACTGCTACCTCCAGGTGGGTACCAATGTGTCCTAGTATATCAGTGAATGTGGTAAATTGTAATTGTGTAATGAGACTGTCCCAGTGAAATTGCTGGCAATGGGTTTAAGATATGACTGAGAAGCTTGCAACAGTGCTAAGTAGGAGAGAGTCAGGCGAAGCTGTGGATGTTCGGCATGAATTATTATTGCTTCTTATTGTTGATAGGTAAGCGTTGGGTGTCTAAGGCGAGTTGTGAGATGTTGCAATTGAAGATGTATTTACTGACCATGTTCACTCTTGTAAGATAATTTAACTGCTTGATTCACTGTGTTGAGATCATTTGAACATAAGAACATAAGAAATAGGACCAGGTATAGGCCACCTGGCCTGTCTAGCCTGCTCTGTCATTCCATAATATCATGGCTGAGCTTTTTATGGACTCAGCTCCAATTACCCACCCGCTCACCATAACTCTTAATTCTTTCACTGTTCAAAAATCTATCTTTGCCTGAAAAGCATTCAACAAGGTAGCTTCACTGGGCAGGGAATTCCACAGATTCACGACCCTTTGTGTAAAGAAGCTCCTCCTCAACGCAGCCCTAAATCTGTTACCCCTTATTTTGAGGTTTTGCCCCCTAGTTCTAGTTCCACCCGCCAGTGGAAAAAACCTCCCTAGTTCTGTCTTATCTATTCCCTTCATAATTTTATATATTTCTATAAGATTCCCCCTCATTCTTCTAAATTCCAATAAGTATAGTCTCAGTCCGCTCAAACTCTCCTCCTAAACCAACCCTCCATCCGAATCAATCTAGTGAACCTCCTCTGCTCCCCCACCAGTGCCAGTACATCCTTTCTCAAATTGTTTGCTCCTGCCACAGCATTCTTGTATTGCTGACTTCTGAGAGTTCATCAGAAGAGCTCTCGGGCCTCCTATGGATTGAAGACATTTCTCTTCCTCTCCAATGCAGCATCTACAAATTTTAGAGCCCACTCTTGGGTCATTCTTCTATCTCTGTCAAATTGGAGGCACTTTTAAAATGACTTCCAGCACCTTTTTGTAAAAGGTGTTAGGTCATGCCAGCTGACTTGAAATTAGTGTTAACCTCTCTCAGTTTTGTGACCCCTGCTCATTTATGCAGCCACTCAGCTGTGTGTTTCATGCTGGCTACACGCTACGAAGATTTCATAAACAGGCAGCACAAAGTTTACATCCAGTGCAATGGGTATGACTTTATCGTACATCACCATTGCTATGACCATTTTCAGAATTGTCAAATTCTGCAGTCTTTGAAGTGCAATGATTGTTATTACATAGGCATTGTGGCAGTCAACTTACACTAAAGTGCTGGTCCTAAAAATACTAAAGTACATTGTCACCTAACCTATTACCCATTCAAGCTACAATCAACGTCAAATCATTTGTGTTTACTGTGATTTTCTATTTCTAATAATTACCACATGCTACAAATGCTTTAAAACACTTGACACTTGTATGAAATTTCAATAACATTTCCTCAAGTAAAAAACTACACCCAGTATCAGCAGATCACAGGACTCTTCCTCCCATACTGTCGAGCCTAGAACCACCTCCGTGCTAACACAATCCGGCAACCCTCTCCCTTGTTAGTACGACCCAGTGCATCACATAGGTATGAGTGTTATGAGTAGAAACACAGGACACAAGGTCCGCTTAGCCCATAACTTCTTGGCCGGGTATACTCTCTGTCCCCATTCCAGCATCACCTTCTCAAATTATGCCAAACTCTTTGCTTTCCGGATTCCAAAACTCTACACTATTTTTGCAGAATCCCAAGACAGTCAACTAAATGCTGCCTAATTTGACAAGTCTCAATCCAGCTTTATAGATTCCAGGAGCACCATTCCAAGTGCTGTAAAAAGCAATAGTTGCCACATTTTCACTGTTTCCTGCTGTTTTTTTCCCATTCCAATGCAGGTCAGTGCAGATGACTAGATCCTATCTGTTACATTTTTTTGCCATCATGTTGCTGTATACTCTGGATTTTATGAAATGGAAGAGAAAAAAACATAAAATACATTGGTTTAAAAAAGAATATAATTTTCAAGCCCAATTAACATTGTTTCACATTTTTAATGAAAATCAACCATTTGATTAATATAACAAGTGTGGGATGTCGTGACCCTGTTCCCCATTTGTATTGCTGTTACTCTCAAAAGTTCAGTCCTGTTGATCTGTTTCTTATGTTACAGGGTGTAAATTTATCATGGTCGGCAGGCTTGTCAAGCGCTTGCACCTTGTACAAATTTGAACATAAATTTTATAAGCAAGCTTACTGTAAAGAGCAAATGTGATGGTTGTCCTTTCTGTAAACCTGACTCCTCAAATCTGAATGCTTTTGTAACAAGTTTAGAAACAGATTTGTGTCGAATGAAGTAATCTGTTATTGTAATTGTTACAACAAATCTTTCCAGAAGGCCAATTAAGAGATTTTCTGTCCGTGACACTTTCCTTGTTCTTATTCCACATTATATCATTACATAAAACAGAAAAACTCAACAAATAATAGGGAACCACATGATGTTGATATAAATATTTTACATTAAATCTGAGGCCTTAATGAATTTCACACAGGAATTAGACCCAAACATCAGCTCACAAATAATTTCAAAGGTTGAAAATTGAAGCTCAGAAGCAAAGTGCCAAACCAATTGTCCACTTCCTCTGCAATGTATGCCAATGTATTTATGTATAATTTCAGGCTGTGAAGTCTGCTTTCTCAATGTACAAAGGAAGAAATTATATAAATGGATTTTACTCATATTTGTAATTCAGTATTTTTTTTAACCTGTAGGAAATTGAAAGAGGTGCGTTTAGACCGAACACATCCTGAAGGACTTGGCATGAGTGTGCGAGGTGGTTTGGAGTTTAACTGTGGCCTCTTCATCTCTCAATTAGTAAAAGGAGGACAGGCAGACAATGTTGGCCTGCAGGTAAGGATGACTGTCATGTAAGAGAGGTGAAGTGCTTCAGTAAACATCATCTTTCTTTGTAACAGTGCTGAATGCAGTTCACCAAATTATTTATTTGGCAGTGGCCCATCTACAAGCTCATAAACAGAGAATGACCTTTTCAGCTGTAAGTTGTTTAGCAATGTCCTGTGACAATGCCAACACCAGATTAGATAAACTGCAGAGAGGTTTGTGACTTTTTTTTAGAACTTTCCCTCTTTATTAAATATCATTAAGCATGACTTAAATTGGATATCGACAAATTCTAGCTTATCCAGAAAGCTGGAATTTACAGCCAGTTCATCAAATAATCTTAGCAATTTCCTCAATCAAACCCATTTCATGTGTTCATCACACTTTGTGTGAGAACAAGTTGGTATTATAACAATTATGAAGATTGCAATTTTAAAGAGTTAGTATTTTGTACAATCCACAAATGAACTCTCACGATCAAATCAGGACAATCGAATACTGTGCCCCTGTTTAATGGCGGGCTGCTATGTTTATAAGGAGTCAGAGCAATAGGATGAAGAACTGGATACTGACACTAAGGTTGGATGTTTATGGGTGACACAGGAGGTCAGCAGCAGGGGTGTAGTGTTATGCTGTTAGATTCCATGCAGGTGGCAATCTAATGACCAGGCTCGAAAAGATGAGTATATTTCCTGTGCACATTATACCAATCCCTCTGCCCCCTCAAGAATAATCCATGACAGAGCTCCTCATAACACTTACTTTGTAGTTTCACTGCTTAACTCTATCTATGCTCTTTCTCAGATCTCCATCTATGAATCCACCATTACTTCTGACTCTCATGATTAGGTGATTTCATGCCTTTCCCTCATTATTGTCTTCACCAAATGCACTGCTTCCATCGGCTGAACTTATGTCTAATACTTACTCTTTAATACTTTTTTCTAATGTCTAATACTTTTTTCTTTCCTCCTTATTGGAGAGGAAATACACATTACGAATGACCACAAGATCATATGATATAGGGCCAGAATTAGGCCATTTGGCACATTGACTCTGCTCTGCCACTCAATGATGACTGACATGTTTCTGAACCCCATTCTCCTGCCTTCTCCCCATAACCTTGATCCCCTTATTAACCAAGAACCTATCTATCTTTATCTTAAATACACTCAATGACTTGGCCCCCACAGCCCTCCTCAGCAATGAGTTCCACAGAATAACCACCCTCTGGCTGAAGAAATTCCAACTCGTGTCAGTTCTAAAGCATCATCCCTTCACTCTGA